CTCTGGGCACCACCACCACCACCACCACCACCTCCTCCTCCCCCCATTCTAGTGCCTGCCCTGCCCACACTGGGTGGCACCACCACCACCACCTTCTCCTCCAGTCCTAGGGCCCGCCCTGTCCTCTATCCACCCTGGTCCTGTGGATGCAGCTCAAGTGCCCTGTGTGAAGTCTGGTGCAGAGCCTGGTGTCCTGACCCTGCACTGGTTCCAGAGGTCAGGTGGGCACAGCCGGGGTAACACCAGGACAGACATAGGCAGGCAGGACTCTGCTCATTTCCCATGGATGCAGGTGGTCAGATGCCACTGTGGTTCCTGCGATGAGCAGTTGTCTGTGATCATGAAAACTGTGCACAGGAAATGCACTTCACTTGCTGCTGTTCATGCATCCAAAGCGGGCCCAGGGCACCAGGGGTCTGCTGTGTGGCTCTCAGCACACCCTCCGGCAGGGTGTCACCTCCGAGTCAGGCTGTCCCTGTGCAAGGCCAGGTGGAGGGAGATGAAGCCTCTTGGAACGTGTGTTCTCTGTGAAGTCAGGCGCAGGGCCTTCCTGAGCACACCAAGTGTCCTCCCCAAACATAAGTCGTGGGGAGAGGGGCGGCTGCCGGCTTCAGCAAGAAGTGCCAGTGCTGGGGCCGGAGAAGAGGTGGTGGCAAAGTGCTCTGTGACAGTGCAGCACGTGGGTCCCCAGTGTCTGGGTGGGCACCAGCAGAGAGGTGCAGGGTCAGGAGGTGAGTCTCACACTTGTCTCGCCCAAGCAAGCGTCTTCCCCGGGTGAGCAGGTGCAGGTCGGGAGCTTGGCCTGCAGGGGCTGCTGCAGCTCCACCGAGCAGAGGCCTTGAGATCCCTCCTGCAGCCTGTCTGCCGGGATTATGGGCTTTCTCTCCTTGGGTTGCTTTGAGGATAAAGCCAATCGGCGGCCTGCTGCGCTGTGAGAATTTCTTCCAGGTGTAAGAAAAGCCCGCGTTTTGTGATGCCGCATGCTACTGCATACCAAAAGTTTTCCAGAGAGCTGCAGTCAGCGCACCTATTCCAAGTGGCCCGGGCGCAGCCCACAGGGTGGGGGCTGTGTGGACAGTATGTCTGCCTGGGTTGATGCGGTGGAGAGTTCCCACCACACTGCTCTGAGAAAACCCCAAACAAAAACCGCAGACCCCCGCTCAGCTCAGGACCCGGGAACACTGGGCCTGGTGTGCAGGTGCATAGACCTTGGCTGGCATAGGAAGCTGGGCTCTGGCCAGCAGGGCCTGCTGCAGGGGCCCACATCCTCCTCGGGTGTTGTGGTTTTAAGAAATCCCTTGAGACTTTTGGGGCTGGGGTCTCTCCCGTGAGCCAAGCCATGGGCACCCACCTCTCCTGGCACTTTGTGTGGGGAACCCCACGGCTGAGGCGGGTCACACCCCGAGGTTCCTTGCTAAGGCCGCCTTCCCAGGACATGCTGCCTTTTCACAACGGAACAGGTCCACCACAGACTCGGCTGTGGACAGTGCTTCCCTGAAGTCCAGACTGACGTCCCCTTCAGGTGTGACCCCAGGAGGGCAGCTGTGGCCCACAGGGTGACTTGACAGCGTCACCATTCCTCTGCGCCCAACACCTTGCCGTCTGCCCACCTGCTGCAGCGAGCAGCACTCTGGTCGGGCCTTCCCTGGTGCAGACCTGAGCTGGTGGACCCGTCCTGCGACAGCCCCGCCCAGAGGAGGGAGGGTGAGCACATTCCTCCCGCCGTGGACTCTGCTCAATGAGACTCGTGAAATTCTCCCAAACCTCAGGTTTCATAGGACTTTATTCTACAAACAAAGTCATACAAAGACAAGGGATCTATAAAAGGAAACCATGAAGTCGACTGTGGATGGCTGCAGTGACAAGGCAGGTTCACAAAGGAAAAGCTGGCCAAGGCAGAGCTGCAGCCCGGCTCCCCAGGCCCTTCCTGGGACGAGGCAGCAGCCTTCCACATGGCTTGGCTCTGGCTGCCCTCGGCGGGCAGGTGAGTTGGGCTGCCGAGTCCAGGCAGGCCCACTGCCTGTGTGGGACATGAGCCGAACAGTGGTCACTGGCAAGCTGACCCCCCCCGTGCCCTACAGTGCCTCTGCCCTGACCTGGACTCTGTGGACGGGCTTATTCACTAGGGAGCCCTGGAAGCCAGAGGCAGCCCAGGGCCTGGGTGTGGGACCTCCGAGGAAGCAGGCTCTGTGGACAGTGGGGTCATCCCCAAAAGGCCCCAGTGTGTTTAAATAAATAAATAACCCACGCAGCGGACAGCGAGGCCAGCAAGGCCAAGTGAGTCCACAGCCTGCAAACACAACTGACCTAGAATCGGAAAGCTCCAAGGTAAAGTGCAAACCAGCAGCTGGTGGTGAGGGTGCCCAGCTGTTGCTGCCTCACCACACGAGGCCCATGCCCAGCAGGGGCTTGTCCAGCTCAGGCTGCCTTCTTCAGAGGGCAAGGGGTGGGACAGCACTCCACTCTGCATGTGGGCCATGTGCAGAATTCCCGGCTCTTAGGTCCCCGCACACCCCCACTGCTGGCCACTCAGGGCAGCAGGCCCCCGCAGCCCAGGCGCACACTGGCAGGGCCCTGTGGGTGCTTACGAAGAGCAGCTGGGACCCCCACACAGCCGCAGCTTGGCAGGAGGCCAGCAGGGATGCAGCTGGCACTCACACCCCCACAGGGACACAGGCTCTGTCCAGCATCCTGCCCAGTGTGCACTGGCCCAGCTGTTCATGGGAGACTGGGAGGCATGGAGCCCCAAGGCCACACTGACATTCTGCCCTTGGCCCAGGGGACAAGTATGCTCTGCCATAAGTGTTCTGTGTGGGGTGTCAATGACATGCAAAGTCAGTCTGGCTGAGGCTGGGCAGTGGACAGTGGTCAATCCCAGGTTGCTGGGTACATGGAGCTCTGCCCTGGACGGATACAGGGGGCCCTCCAGTGCGGCCCCTCTCAGCACTTCCTAGAATGCCTTCTGCGTGGAGGGAGCCCAGGTGGTGGCTCTAGGTACAGCAGGTCAGGTGGCCTGAGTGGCATCTGTCAGTCTGAGCTGGGCTGGCACCGTCCTCACCCCATCTGGCACGCCCACCGACATCAGGCCTTAGGAGTAGATGGTGATGACCTCCCGGCCACCGCCCCTGACCAGAAGCACCCTGTTCAGCCCCTCGGTCAAGACCTCGAGGAACTCCATGTCTGGGTGCAGAGTTAAGGCCAGGCAGGTCTCACCTGGGCCACGTGCAGGGGAGACCCTCTATCACAACACGGAGTACACCTGGGAAGGGGCCAAGACCAGCCAAAGAAGGCCCCGTGCTGGGGGGCGGGATGGGGGACCCCAGGGAGTGGGGAGGACATGGAGGGGCTGCTGGTCAGGAAGGAGGAGGAAGTGACCACTAGTCCCACCGCAGACCTCAGCAGGTGACCAGATCAGAGCCAGCACCCAGAACCCAGGGTCAGTCTCTGACCCAGAAGCCAGGAGATGCCCAGGGCTGGCTGCAGTCTTGAGGGGAGTCCAGCAGGACCCCATGCATCAGGCCTGCATGACAACAGTTGAACCACTGAGCTACGGTCAGTGGACATGAGCTTCCAGCCCGGGGCTCTCGCTGCCTGCCCTCCTGAGCAGGAGCAAGCTGAAGCTCAGGATGGCCCAGGGTACAGCAGGCAAGATGCCCTACCTGGGCAGGTGAGGGCTGCCCCCACCCCCACCAGGCCGGGTGCTCAGGGCCGGCTTCTGTTCTGTTCTCTCCTCGCCCTAACTCCATCATGGGCCAGCCACAGAAAGCACCATATGGACTCGCTACTGTCCAGGCCCAATGCCCACACCACCTGCTGTAGCCTAGCACTGACCCCCAATGTAAGCCAAGAGCACCTCATGGGGCAGCACTGCCCTGGCCCCCACTGGCGCAGCCGCAGTGTCCTCTCTCTAAACCCTGGAGGGCCCCACCCCACCTACCCACACCTACTCTCCAGTCTATGCCACCCACAGGGACCAGCCCACTCCCCTTCTGTCCCAGGCCTCCCCCAGCTCCGGGGGCAGTGCAGGGGGACCATGTGGTCTGGCATGGTGACCCCAGGTGGGCCCCTGCCTACTTGCCTTGGGGGCCTCTGTTTGGACAAGAGGCAGCACAAGCCCAGCCAGAGCCCCTAACTCAGAAACCACTGGACAGCCCCCACGGTGCCCACGTCCCTGCAGGCAACGTCACAGGAAAGGATACAGTTCTCATCCCCCTGCCGGTTTTTCGGGGGCCCCGGCATGTTCAGCAGGACCAGCTGGGCGTCCTGGGACTTGCTGAGGACAACGCCATTGAGCTTCACGGCCGTGTGCATCCTCCTGACGTTGGACTGGTCCCTGTGGGAGGGGCGGCAGCAGTGGGCAGGAGGCCTTCAGCCTGGCTGACCCGCCCCTGGCTCCTGGTGCTAGGCAGGGCCAGGAGGACTGTGGCCCGAGGGGTTCCGGGGGGCAGGCCCCTAGGAGAAGCGCTGGGTGGCAGGCAGGCGGCTCTGGAGCAGCAGGAAGCACCTGCCGGCATTCTAGACTGAGCGCCACTACCACAGGCCTCTAGTCTACGCAGCGGCTGGAGACTACAGAAGCACAGGACATCCACAAAGCAGAGCTCGCAGGAGGAAGCAGGTGCGAGGGAGCGGCTGTCCTACAGGCTTGGGAACGGGCCACCGGCCTGTGCCTCTCGGGCTGACAACCCTGAAGAAACCCCTGGCTGAGTGGGTCCAAATGGAGCAGAGGCTCTGGGTCTGGGCAGGGCCGGTGCTCAGGAGGGAAGCGCCCACAGTGCCCAGCTGACAAGCAGCCACTGCAGGGCGGCCACTCGTAGGCCCTGCAATGTGGACGGGCTCAGCAGAGAACCTGCAGCCACACCTGGGCCCCTCCAGCCCCGGCCTCAGCCCCTGGGCCATGCTGCACCTTGGCGGATGGTGGACAGGGCTTCCGGCCTTGGTGGTGCAGGCCTGGGTCTGCCCGCAGGGCATTCCCACCGAGTGCTGGTGCTGTGTTCCTCAGTGTCCCTGGTGGCCAGGCCCAGGGGTGACCATGTAACTCTGGGGCACTGTAGACTGGCACAGGCACACGTAGGCACCCAGAGAACAGAGGCCTCACATGTTTGTTTACCCACCCTTGACCAGGAGGCCACAGTCCCTTCTCTAGGTAGCCTGGGTCAGCCAGCTGCAGAACTGGCCCTCCCAGAAGCCACGTGGAGAAGCCCTTCCACAGAGGACTCCTGCCGTGGTGTTGGTGTCTGTGCTAGAAGACCCAGACGATGTACTGACCCTGTCATGGGGTGGGACCTGTGCAGCCTCCGTTAGTCTGCCCACCTGGTGTCCTCCACAGCCTTGTGCAGGTCACTTGTGCCCCAGACACAGACGGCCAGGCAGGGCCACCAGCAGGTCAGGGAAAGGGCCCATGATGTCCTGTGCTAGCACCCTCTGATCAGCTCGACCAAATACAAGCCTCAAGCCAAATACATCTGCTGTCACCCACTACCCACCTGGAGGAAAGAAGGCAGCAGGCCCTACCCCTGGAACCTGGCCCGGTCACAGTCGGTCTCCCCATGGCACCGGGAGGCCTCCACAAGAACCTCAAGTCCACAACCCTGGGGGCAGTCACTGTGTGGGCAGGCGGGACTCCAGAAGGGCAGGGCGTGCGTCACAGGACTTCCTCAGCCTCAGAGGCCAGGCTGGGTTCCCAGGAGGTGGCCCGTGGAGGTCAGAGGACAGGAGAGGCCCTCTGTTCCCAGTGACTGCAAACCCACAACAGGACACCTGCAGGGACATCTGTACCTGGTGGCTCTCCAGACCTGGATCTCCAGCTGGGAGCCACAGGGGCGGGACAGGGTGGCCAGGGGCAGAGGAGATGAGGAAGGTCCACGCCAGCAGGCACACGTATGCACACTCGAGTACACCAACACGCTCTTACACCAGCATGATATAGAGGTGTGCACATGGGTACACATGAGCGTGCACACAAAGTGTGCTCCAGAGATGCAGTGAGCCGTCAGCACACCTCACGTCTAAACTGACCCAAAGGGGGGCCTGGCCTTGACCTTCCAGAGCATCCTAACCCTCCTAGCAGAGGCAAGCCCAAGACTGGAAGGAGTCTCGTGTGTGCATGGTGTATGTGTATGCGCTGGCACGTGTGTACATGTGTGTGCGCTGGCACGTGTGTGCATGCACGTGCGCACACGCATGCACCCAGGTGTGTGCACGTGGGCACAAGGAGGGCAGGGGTCAAACGTGCTTCGGCACCTACTGTTTCTAACTGAGCCATCTGAGGCACCTTCGGACTCACAGACAGCAGGACAGGGGGCTCCCACATCTGCTGGCCTCGCTCCCAGTGGCCCACCCCCGGCCTCTCCAGTCGCATGGCTGAGGTGCCCTCTCCAGTGCCCAGCTTTGACACTGCCCTGGGCACCACCTGCCTTAAATCCAACAGCCTAGGAGGTCACTGTAGAGGGGATGAGGACCGGCAGACGGGTGGAGGGGCAGAGCAGCAGCCCCAGGCAGGTCCTGCCAGGATGGCCCTCCTGAGACTGGCAGCCTGGACCCCAGCTGTGGGCTCACCACCTCAGACCCCTGGCCCTGGTGCTCCTCGCGAGCCCGACCACAGCGGGACTCAACCCACACCCGCTCCCTGGAGATGGGGGAGGACGCTCCTGAGGGGTGGTCTGGCTGGGGGTGTGGGTAGGGTCACACGCCCACCCTGTGCGCCCTCAGGACCAGCCTCGGGCTGCCTCAGGGATCGCTCAGGGAATGACGTTCAGTAGGCCCAGGGCCATTTTGAGGAGTGGGCTACAAGGACACACAGGGGCCGAGCACAGACATGCAAGCAACTGGACCGAGGTGGCCCACGTAAAGCGGTGGCAAAGCCGTGAACTTACAGGTTTCCCCATTCTCTAGAGGAAGAAAAACACGGAGAGCACGTTACTCCACGGAACCCTGCTGACCACGCCCAGGCTGCACCCCCCGCCAGCAGAAGTTGTCCTGGGCCCCTCTGGGCCCCCCACAGGGCAGGTAAAACCCCTCTGCCCTCCTTGAGAACCCGGGCCCTGAGGGTCAGCTCCACCACTGCAGGCTCAGCCGGCCACGGCTGGACACGGGACTGAGCCACATCTGCACCCCTGGGGACCCACTGCGGCCCTAAGGGCCTCAGCCGGGCCCACGGCTCTTGGACAACGCGGGGAGAGGTGGCCCAGAGGCCTGCTGGAGCTCTCGGCTGGTGGAAAGTCGGGCACAACTGAGGGGCTGCAGCCGCGTGCGGCCATCACCAGAGCAGGGCAGCCCCAGGGCTCAGACCTGCCTCATCGCCCAACCCACTGGTGCTGACAGGCAGCAAGTCTGTGGACCTGCGGGCCCTGGGGGAGCAGGCGGGGCGCCCGGGGCAGGGGCTGCAGGGCCTGGCTCTGCCCAAGGCCTCACGACACTCACGGCTTCAGGCTGAAGAGGTCTTTGAACCCAGGGGTGCTGGCCTCCTTGTTCCTGTGCTTCTCCGCAATCAGCTTCTCCTTCGTCCAGGTCATCTGCACCTTGTCGGGGACCGACAGGGCCTGGGGCCTGGTGGCCGCCGCGGCATGGGACGCAGTGTTCCTGTCGTGGATCAGCTGGGCCTGGAGGGCGTGCAGGGGTCAGCACAACCAGAGGCTCACCAGAGCTACCAAGTGGACAGCAGCTGATGAGGCAGGCTGGCCATGGAAAAGGACTTCAGAGCAGTGGCCCGGGACTCCTGGTCACCCCAGCCCTGGGACAGCAGTCCCCCGGCTCTCAGCGCTGCTCACTCCTCCCGTCTCTGAACCCCCCCAGCCTTGCCTCCCTGTCCTGGCCCCCAAAACCACATGGAGCCGTGGCCAACCACAGAGGGCCAGCCAGGTGCTGGAGCAGGGCCGTCGCGTGACCGGTGACCGCAGGGAGCTGACGCTGACCCCATAGAGCATCACCCCCTCTTACCAAACCTCTGATGCAGGGCTAGGGTGTGAGGCCTGGCAGGTGTGTCCGCAGAGCCCAGGGAGGAGACTGCCTCCCAGGCAGAAGTCACGCTGCCGGCCATTCCGAGTGTGGAGTGGCCAAGAGATGCCAATGCTCAGGCACCACCCTGAGGGCACCAGAGGCCACAGCAGCACCTCACCAACACCCAAGCCCCAGGCTGTGTGCCACATGCACGATCATCCCTGCAGCCCGGGCCACGTGTGGCTCACCTGCCCAGCATTCCTGCCAGACTCCACGGGCTTCTCGGGGGGCAGGGGGCACCTCCCTGACCACTGCCCTCACCCCCACAGACGCCTTCCTGTGTGCATTCCTGGACGCGGAGCCCACGCGTTCTGGGAGGGTCTGGCTCGGGCCCCACACACCTCTCTCTCCCGCTCGTTCTTGGACAGCTGCATCTGCTTCAGCATCTGGGACCTCTGCTCCATCACCAGGGTCTTCTCATAGGTGAACGCAGAGATGTCGTTCTCAACCTAGAGGTGCACAGCACGCAGGTGAGCAGAGCGCCCCAACAGCAGGCGCACAGGGTCCCTGGCGCTCTGTGGCCTGAGCTGGTGAGCAGCTGAGCCCGAGCCCTGCAGGGCCCCTGGGGACCTGCAGCTGGGCCCCAAGCAGCTGGGGTAGTGTGTGGATCTAAGTGCCAGACGTGATTGGCAGTCACAGCAGGCAGGCTCTGCTGCCCTGTGCCCCTCCCGGGCCCTCTGCCATCAACACGTGGACAGCAAGAAGAGAACCTATCTCTACACCCTGACCCAGCACCCAGGGCACAGGGTCCTGGACAGGTCATCCAGCTGGTACCTCGGGGCTCACCAGCAACTAGTGCGGCTTTCTATGACACGCAAGCTCACACCAGGAGACCCACAGGGGACGGAACTTAGTGTCACTGCCCAGGGACCCTGGGTTCCGCTCCATGTCCAGAGCAGCCCTGCCCACTGCGCTCACTCAAAACTGCCCATCATCCTGAACCATGGCCATCAAAGGGCCCCACTCCATCAGCTGATGATGTCATCTTGGGCCACTGGTGGGGCACAGGACAGTGGCCCTCTGCGGCACTCTGCGGCAGCTGGCATTGCAGGCTGAGGGGTGGGTGGTCACGCCCACAGGTGCTGCAGGGTCAGGGGATGTGGCCGGCTCTGCCTGCCTCCCTGCCCAGCCCCTGTGGTCCTGAGGCCTCATCTCCTCCCAAGCAGCTCTTGTGACATGTGTGCCACTGTTCAGAGCAGCTGACCCCGAGGGCAAGCCCATAGCCAGGGCTGCGTGAGCTAAGGCCACCATGCAGGCGGCCAGCAGCTGGATCTTGTCCTGACGCAGATGTGCAGTGCTGGACAGCGAGCCCCGTCACGAGAACAGGAAGGGGCACTCAACCTGCTCCCAGCCTCGGAAGCTCCTTCAGAGCAGGAGGAGAACCACCCAGGGACAACACTGCCCCATGGAGACCGAGAGAACAACACCAAGGGTCATCAGTGATGCCCGAGGAGATGCTGACCTCACTGGAGATCAGAGGCGCAAATCCAGACTAGATGCTGGAGGCTGTTGGCCAGCACTGGACTCCGTACCCCCAGCAGGGGCCTCCCCACATCACTGCTGCGGGAGCAGAGCCCCTCGGGGGCAGTTCCATGTGGTCCCCCCAGCAGCTCTACTCCAGACTGGACTGCAGACTCGCCCGAGCTGGGCAGGCCCCATGCTCACTGGGCGTCACCCAGGATCAACAACCGGGAATTGTTGGTGTGACTGCAAAACCGCTACCCTACCCCCCAAGGGCAACCAGAGGCTCTGGGGGTCAGGCGCCTCACTGCAGGCCACGGCAGCGCAGGGCACCTAGGGTCCAGGGGCCGTGGCTGGGACAGATGCCCCCGTTGCCCAGGCCGCCTCCACACCTTGCTCTCTGGAGGTGCCTGGGACTCAGTAGACACTGTCCACCAAATGACCCATTTGTCCTACACCTTGCCCCAGGCTGACCTCACTGACTGATGACCTGTGTGGACAGAGATGGCTGGTTATTTCCAGCTGTGGGACCGTGAGGCCATCTCCCACAGCTGGCCACACCCAAGGCCTGAGCAGGCTGAGGCCAGGGGCAGGGAGCACCACGGGTTGCCTGGTGAGGAGGCGTACCTAGGCCACAGACATCAGCCAGAGGCACTGGGGACATTGCACTGTCCCTGCGAGCCCAGCTCTGCCAGCCCCACCCAGCCCCACGGCGCCTCAGGCCGGCGGCCACACGCACCATCTCCACCACCTCCACCTCGGCGCTGATCCTCAGGTGGTACAGGAACACCTGCAGGTCCTTCTTCATCTGGATGCTGTTGTCGTCCACCTGGGCCACTGTGAAGATGCGCATCCGGCACTTCCGCCACACCTGGGGACGGAGCAGGGGTCCCTACTTGGGCAAGCCCTGCCTGCCCCAGCTGCCACGTGCATGGGGAGCCTGGCAGGCATGGCCAACCCCATGCTCCCTGGGCACAGCC